TGTGGTGGGGGATAAGACATGTGCGTGTATGTATGTATAAGTACATGTATATATATATAATCAGGTCTGTGACAGGTTCACAATCACACACTCTCTCCATGCTTAGCAGATGGACTTTGTGAGTGGTAGTAAAGTGAGACAGACAGACAGACACAGAGACATTAAGACAGAGTTAGAGACACAGACAGAGAGACAGAAAGGAAGAGAGACACACAGTGAGACAGAAAGAGACAGAGTCAAAGACAGAGAGAGAAGGAAAGAATAATCATTTTAGAAAACCTAGCAATAACACATCAGTCTGGACTAGCTTAGGGAAAAACGATGTTCCTGAGAAAACATGTCTTCTAAGTCCCCCTGTCTAGCCTTTGAGAGTTACTGTGGCCCTCACAGGTGCACACACATGTGGGCGGGCACATGCACACACACACACATGCTTCACTAGCCCCCTCCCCATACCTCCTCCCCCACCCTCCCATTACCCAAGGGCAGCTGCTCTGTTGTCCTCTCAGCAGGCGCCTTGAGTATTCCTTCCACAGTAACCACACAGCTCATTGCTGGGCTGGTCCCTGAAGCCTTTCTCCAGCTTCATAGAACCTGTGAAAGCCTCGTCCTGGGGCATGGGCATCAAGGACCCCGCATTCCCCATCCCTTCTCCTCCTGTGCTGTTGCACAGACTAGGCTATGAGAAGAGTGTCCAGGCATGCTTGGCAAGTTGAGACGAAGTAGAAAGCCCCTGTGGCTGGGGGCATCAGAGTCAGAGGCAGTGGCCTATGTGACAGACAGTGCTGAATCTGAAGGTACAGGATCTGGTTTCAAATCCTGGTTCTGCCCCGTACGTTCTGTGTGGCCTTGGAAATATCACTTAACCTCTCTGGCCTCAGTTTCTTTGTCTGTGACACGAAAGAGCAGCACTGGATGACTATGACCCTATAGTCTCTAGGGTCCCTTTCAGCTTTGACATGCTCTCATCCATAATGGCTTCATAAGGAGGTGGCATTTAAGCTCGATCTATTTTTCTACGTCCCATTCTCCCTCCTCCACTACCAAAAACATCAGCAGAGCCCTTCCAACAAACATGCACTCCAGGAAAACAAATCCTTGCATTGGCCATGCCCAAAAAATGCCTGTTGCACACTGTGAGTCCCCAACCTCTGTCAAGAGGTGGGCAGCAGGCTTCATCATTGGGCTTCTGGAATCATGGCTGGTCATTGCCTCAAGTTCTTCCAAAGCTGTTTGTCTTTGCAACCTCCTTTCTGTCCTGTCCACCATTCTCCTGGTTGCACTCACTCCCCTCTGCATTCCGGCACAATACTATCCTATCACAAGCAAATATCATCACTTATTCAGCTATTCTCCAATTGACAGGCACCCTGTCAGAGGCCAGTTCTTTGCTCCACAAAGAGCTGCTGTCAATTGATTGGTACCTATGGGTCTTCCCCCTCTTACCCGGCAGATGAGGAAGACAGATTGGTCAGTGCATGAACTGATGGAGAGTATGGTGAGAAGTACCAACAGAATGATTTTTACACTAATTTTACAATTGGTGGCTACCAAGGAGAATCCCACTGGCTTTGGGGCCTAGCTTTGCTTGCAAGAGGCCATGTCTGCTTTCCAGAAAGATCCCTCCCCATGTTGGCACTTGCTTCCTTTTCTGAAATCTTCTGATACCTGGAGCCTTCCATGAGCCACCCAGCCTCATTGTCACCTCCCTGTCTCTGATATCAGGAGTCAGAAAGCAGTCCAATGCAGCAGATCAAGGCCCCGTAAAGATCAAGGCCCTGGGCTGGATCGAGTCTCAGGGATGCTCCTAGGGGCAGACTATCCAGAATGGGGTCAGCTTGTGGCATTACTTTGGGAAGGCTTGGGTGGCTATACAGTCCACTGTCTTCAGGTGGGTCAGGTATGTGGGGAAGGATGGGAGTGCAGCCTCCGTTGTTAAGACAAGGCCCTAGCTGTCTCCCACCCAGTTCGAGTGACCAGAGAGCTGGGGGAGCTAAAGCTGATGAGAGGCTTCTCCATCTGGCAGCCATGCTGGTTATCTCTGTGCTGCTGTCTCTGCCTTCCCCTCGATTTCCTCCCCCACGTGGCCTTTTAACTGTCCAACATTCACTTGGAGGAAAGAAAATGTGCCCATAATAAAGATTGCTCATAATTAATTATCAGTGGCTTGTGTGGCTCTGGTGAAGGCCTCCACATCACAGCAATAGACAGGGATGCCTGGGCAACAGAAGAGATCAGAGAGATCAGAGGAGCTCCCCTTTCTCTTGCAGTTCTGCAGCCTTCATGCAGGGTCCTTACTGGCATGGATGCTGCTCCCTCTCTTCCCAAAGAGTCATGGACTTTGAGAACTGAAAGAGAGAGCCATCCAGCAGCCCACCCCAGCCCCAGAGGAGGAGAACGTGCCTGGCAAATGGCAATCTAGCCCCTGTGTGGGGAGAAGTTTCACTGCCTTATTAAGATGAAGCCTCTGTGTGTGATCAAGTGGTGCTGAGGAAGCTGTTTTTCAGTACAAGATAATTGTTTGTGTGTTAGGATCCAGAAGACGACACATCAGTTGGTAAGTGCATGCAGACCCTCGGAGAGGACGGACCACCAAAGGAAGAAAAAACCTGATAAATATAATACTTTATCATCATCTTACGTGTCGAACGACCACTCCAGTGATGTATGTAGTGAACAAAGGAGAGCACGCGTGGACAGCACAAGGCGAAGGCCCTGGAGGCCCCAGCCAGCAGCCTGCTGCCAGGGCCAATCTGGACACACCCGAGCTTTGAGCAGCCAGTGTTTGCTTGTGGGCTGGGCAGATGTAGGGAGACTTGCTGGCCCCCCACTTCGGGGGAGACACATGGCCTCTGTTTGGGCAGAGGGTACCTTGCCATGACCACCGTGGAAAAGACACTTACTGTGACTTCTAGGAAGCAGGCTAATGGTTCCTTCTGAGACTTGGCTGTCTTCATATGGTTTGCTCTATTTCACTAATAAAGCTGGATTGCACGTGTGGAGAGGTTTCAGTGTTTAGTCATCGAGGAAAGGGTGTAAGTGAGCAGTGTTTCTGCCTTAAAGGTAAATTGGCTAGAAGCATGCATCATGCATCCCACCCGGCTTGAAAACTTCCAGTGTGCAGGAACTAGCCAGTTCCAGGGACCACCCCTTCCACTCCCATGGAGGCCAAATTCCCCCCTGCAATTTCCAGCCATCCCGCCTGCTTGACTCCCTGGGTCAAAGGAAACAAGGGTCATTCTTCTCCCACAAGCCAGCCCTCCAATGAGAGCTGCCCACCCTCCCCTGGAAGAGGGTGAGCAGGTCACAATGCTTCACCTTTCTCCGGGGTCACTGTCCCCATCTGCCCAAGACAGAGCTTCAGGCCCTTACCCACCCTGTTTTGGTCCTGCGTGGACTCTGGCCAGCTCACCAAGCCCCTTCCCTCTCTGTCCCTCTTGTGCATCCCCATGGATCTTTGCTGTTCCCCTTCTTCTCCCTCACCCCCTTTCCCTCTCTCTCTCTCTCTGTGTGTGTGTGTGTGTGTGTGTGTGTGTCTGTGTCTGTGTCGGCCTTGGGGAGGAAGTGAGAGCCTAGCAGTCTCTAACACTGTTTCAGGGGAATAACCAGAGAGGTGTAGCTGGGCATGCTGGGCCACAGGAGAGGCCTCTCCAGAGGACCACTGTTGGAGCGCCCTTCTCCATCTGCCAGGTGCCTACGTGGGCTGAAAGAAAACTCCTTGAGGGCAGGGACTGCTTGAGCTTTGCCCGTGGGTCCCCAACGATTAGCACAGTGCCTGGCACAGAGAGGGTGCAGCCTACTCCCTCCCTGTTGTTCTGAAATGAAGGCAACGATAAATTAACTTCACAAACTTTTTTTATTCTTTTTATCTGCTTTCACTTTAACAATATATATTCTTCTGTTGTGGAATCTCAAAACTATCTTAAATATATATGTATATATATATTTTTTTCCACTTCATAAACTGCAGAAGGGAGACTCTGAGAAGAGTCCCAGGAGAATCCAGACTCCTTTAATACCTGCAACAAGATGAGAGCCAAAAAGCCGTTAGGCAAGTGGTAGTTGTCAGAAAGTCCAACTCTACAATCGCAGATACCATATAGAAAACATCACAGACACAACATAGGACAGACACCTACATGACCATCTAGACGTGACAACAAACACATGACAAATGGGAGAAAGATCACTTTTGTCTTTCTTCTTTTCCTGTTTGTATATCTAGCACTAAGTGAAACAGGAAAGAGTTTTAGGAACCTGGAGAATTCTGGCCTGGCTCTAGGGATGGCTGCAGCTGGAAGGGGGCAGGGCAGGAACCACATTCCACCTTCCGTGGAAGGAAATTCTCAAGTTCCAAAAGAGTCAGCTTTAGGAGGGACGTCGGCAGGAAATCTCAGGCAAGATGGCCGCTTGGGGTCTCCTATGGGTGGAAGCCCTCTTGGTTTTCACCTGCATTTTTACCTATGCCTGGGCTCAGAGTGAAGGCATTTGGGAGAAGAGGGAGGGCAGGCTCCCGTGGTGCTCATGGCAATACTGCTGGGGAGCCACAGGAGTCAGGATTGCCAGCCAAGCTTCCTCTCCAGGCAGGGATGCTGAGCCAGGAACAGAGGCACACAGAGACACAGAGACATACAGAGACACACGAGACACACACACAGAGACACACAGCCACGTGGAGCTCAGGCCCTTACTTAGCATGGGGAAATGGGAAGGTGCTGACCACATCTCCGCCCTCGTTGGTAATGGCCTCATAAATCCACTTCCGGTTGCGGCGGCAGGTGGGCCCACACTTGGTGGACTTGCACTTGGGGCATGGATAGAAGCAGCCCACGCACTCTCTCTCCAGGCAGTCACAGAGGTCTTCTCCATTCAGATTCAGCCTGCCTCTCTGGTCATACTTCTTCATCCCTTTCTTGCCTCGTGGGAGCTTCACAGGTGGTTGAGCTGAGTGGGGACCAGCTTGGTCATAGGGCATGGCTTGGGCATAGGGCCCGGCTTGGTCATAGGGACCAGCTTGGTCGTATGGCCCGGCTTGGCCGTGGGGGCTGCTTGGCCATGGGGCTGATTTGGGTGTAGGGGCCGGCTTCGTCGTGGGGGCCTACTTGGCCGTGGGGGCCGGCTTGGCCATAGGGGCTGGCTTGGCTGTGGGAGGTGGCTAGACCACGGGGGCGGCCTCGGCCACGTGGGCGACCTCGGCTACGGGGGCGGCCTTGGCCACGGGGGCAGCCTCGGCTACAGGAACCAGTGAGGCTTTGGTCAGGGGAAACGGTGACGCTGCGGCCGCGGCCGCGGCCACGGCCACGGCCACGGCCACGGCCACGGGGGCTGCTCTCTTCTGAGGGACTGGTCTGGCTGTGAAGAACAATCTGGTCAGTGGGGCTGGTCTGGCGTCGGTAGGCTAGAGAGAGGCGGGAGCCGGTCAGGACGCGGAGTCTGGGCCGGCCACGGGAGGCAATCCGGACACTGGAACCAGTCTGGACACTGGAGGCGATCTGGGTGCTGGGGCCAGTCTGGACATCGGAGGCGATCTGACCACTAGAGCTGGCCTGGACTTGGGAGGCAATCTGACCACTGGGGCCGGTCTGGACAGGGGAAACAATCTTGCTACCACCGCTCCCTGCAGGGCTGCACATGGCTTTTACCTCCCCACTGGTCGACTTCTTCTTCTGAACATTTGCTTCCTGCGTGGCCTCAACTCTCATCTCAGGCTCCTCTTTGACCACCTGCTCCTTGGCCTGCTTCTTCTGCTTCATCATAAGGCGTGCCGATTTCCTCACAGCCACATCCTCCTTTTTCTTAGGCATCTGAGAACGGGTAATTATTTTCGGTCACTGGAAGGCAGCTTCTCTTGCTGCCTTGCTGCAGGACCTTGGGAAGGACAGCAGGCACATAAGGTCACGAGAGGCGAGTGTATCTATACTGGTGCAGAGGGACATTGGAAGGAGGGAGAGGGAGGATGGGAGAAACCAGACTGAGGAGGTCACCTGAAAGGAAGAGCCAGGTCTGGCAGGCCACATCTCCTCTCTCTCCTTTGTTTGTTCTTTCCCTGCTCCCCAATTCTCATTCCCCGACCTGGCTTCAGCTCTGTACCAGGACCATCAAAGCAGCTGCCACTAAGGCCTGAATGGGGTCCCCTGTCCTCTCCACAAATCTCCTCTTGGTTTGGGTCTCGCTATCCCCACGTTGCCCTGGCTCCCTGGTTTCAGCCAGCCATTTTCCCAGCTCTGGGTTGAAAGGCCAGCCCACTGCTGCTTCCTCCTCCTCCTCTTCCTCTATTTCCAGTTACTGCAACCCTTCTAGGCCATCATGTGGCCCATTGCTGCTGCTCTTCTGGAAGCCCTGCTCTGTGGACTACCAGCTCTCCTCTATCCTTGACCTTTTCAAACAACATTTCTTCAACCCCTTCACTGTAAGGAAACCTTAACCATCAGATCTGGGTGGGGGTACCCATGCTTTCTCCAGAGTAAGGTAGGAGGAAGTGGGGAGAAAGCCTACCCTGGGAGCCCCCCTCCCAGCCCCCCAGCTTTCTCCTACTGAAAGCGAGCATGGGGCTGGGGCGGGCCTTCAGTGGATGAAGCTACTCAGCCTCCATTGCCATGGGGTGGAGGGCAGGAAAGACCTGATCTCCTAGAAGAGAGGCCAAAGGAGATGAAGAGGCAGTTTTCAGATAAAGCAATGGAAGCTCTTCAGGCAGGCTGGGCTGTGATCTCCTTGTCCAGGTGAGAAAACTCCCCCTTACTCCTCCCTCTGGAGGCGGGTACTTCTCTGCACTTAGAGTCTTAGAGATTTGCTTAGAGCAGAGGTGGAACAGTCCCCTGAGGTGGGGAAGCCCAAAGCAGATTCAAATGGAATTGGGAAATGCTGAGCAGAATAAACAACAGACTTCAAAGTAGATAATGCTCATTTCTGCCTTTCTAAGTCAATTTTGCCCTCAGGGAACCTTTTCCATTGGAGGTTGAGGCCCCTGGCCTGGGGCCTCCTGAAAGGTGGTAGCTTGCCCAAGGCCTGACTTGCCAACATGTGGATTGGGGCTTTGAGGCCAGACTGATTTATTATAAGGGAGGGCTTGTACTCAGAAATGGGGCGATGGATGGGGTGATAACAAATGGGGGAAACAGTCTATTTCTTCATCGAAATTAACTTAAGTGCACGTGGTCAGACAGCAGGTTTAGGTGGTGTGTTCAATCCAATAGGTTTGTACAAGCGGGTGTTTCCATTAGGGGAGTGAAGGGGAGGGGGTTATCACCTGACAAAAAAAAGAGCAAATTTCATTTAAATGTCCAGCTGGGGAAAGAAAATGTGCAGAGGACAGGCAGGGCCATTTTGTCACTGCTTGGTTAAACACAACATCTCTTCCTTCCAAAACACCAGCATTTAACAGCTCTGAGTTCAGAGCTGGCTTCAGGCACTTGCTAGCCGTGGGACCCAGGGTAAGCCGTGTCACCTGTCTGCCTGACTTTGCTCAACAGTAAAATGGGGCTAAGAACAGAACCTGCCTCCCAGGGCTGTGGTGAAGCTCAAATGAGAGACTTGTAAAGGACTTTAGCATAGTGCCTGGCCCACTGTAGGTGGGAAGAAAGGCTTCTTCCCTTCCCTTCCTCCTTCCCCTGGGTTTTGTGATGGTTCAGTCCACAGGAACAGAAAGACCTGAAACCTTTCCAAAGGGGAGGCTGGAAGCAAGGCTCCCTAACTTGACACTTTGGGATCTAACTCCTAAGTGCAAGTTAGCATTTCCTTCCTCTTTCAGTGAAAACCAACACGATTCTGAGAGGGGCATCTTGGGCCTCGCCAGACTGGCCCTGGGGTACGAGGCCCAAAAATGGCAAAGAAGGCCTGCCAGGGCCCAGTGGTCAGTGAGACCCTCCCTCTCTGGAAAAGGCCCACCCCTTTCATCTGGGCCCTTCACAGAGAATCCTGAGATGCTGACTGAGCCCCTCCAGAGGCAGTGAGCAGGGGCAGGGCTGGGCAGAGAGGCTCAGCCTCTGGGGCAAGGACAGGAGCTGGGCTCAGACTGGGACTGTCCCCAGGGCCTCCCTACAAAACAGAAAGCTCTCTAGAGGAGTGAGAGAGAGGACGAAGGCCTCGGCAGGACGGTGTGCTGAGTGGCTACATACACCAAGGGCCCTGGCCCCCAGGGGTCTTGCCATCCACCAAATCTCGGCTTTCACTGGTAGTGGTAACTTGCCTTTGGAGTCTTCTGCCAGCTAAGTCTTTGTCTTGTACTTACCTGGAACAAAAACAGACACGCGTGTAAATGAGTGGCATATCTACCAAGCCAAGAGAGTCACAAGAGGGACCTCCCCTGCCCTAGGGTGGTTCCCAGTCTGAGAGACCACAGAGGGGCCCACGGCCACGAGTGCACACTCTCCTTGACGACTGAAAAATCGGCAGGTAGACGGTTCCTACTCTGTGCCAGGCAGTGGGCGAGGTAGATCCTGTGGAGCCAAAGAGAAGAACAAAACCATCCTCGCCTTCAGGGAGCTTACATGATGCTGGGGGATACCACCTGCCCTCGCCTGAGGGAAGAGAAAACCTATGTCCTCAGAAGGCATGACTGAGTCCAAATGTTCAGCTCCCAGATGTCCATTAATCCAAGTGCTGAGGCATGAATTCTTTGGGCTCTAAGGTTCCACTTCGGTCAGTTAGAGATCACCGAGTCCTACCAATTCATTTTCTAGAAGGGGAAACTGAGGCTCTGAGAGGCTAAATGCTATCCTTGATCTCATAAAGTTCATTCATTGCAGGACTGGGGCCAGAACCAGATTTCCTGATTCTCAGTTCAATGTTCTGTCTGCCTTGACTGGGCAATTGAGAGGAGGGGGTTTAGGTCTGGGGGAGGACGATCAGCCTGTCTCTTCCTGCCCTAGTCCTGGACGGATGGACCTCTGCAGGACTCTTTGTACAGGCAGCTAGGTGGTGCAGTGGATAGAGCACCGGCCTTGAAGTCAGGAAGCACCTGAGTTCAAATCGCACCTCACACCAAAACTTGACATTACTAGCTGTGTGACCCTGGGCAAGTCACTTAACCCCAATTACCTAAAAAAAAAAAGACCCTTTGTACAGGGCCCAGCAGGTACATGGCCATTTTATGGGCTCTTGGCAGAAAATCAATGGGAATAGGTGGCTGAGGGGAGGAGTGAGCCCCCAGGCAGCAGGTAGGGCCTCCAGTCCTGGCCAGCAATGCACACGAGGTCACCTACCTCAGTGGTGGGCCACCTCTCTCAAGCCAAGCCCTAGGGTAATCAGGGGGTCTCTTCACCTACTTACTTATTCATCAATAAATAACATTTCCACCTATTTTTCCATATTCACCTAAATGCAGAACCCTCAGCCCTTCATGAAATCATTTATATAACAATGAATAAAATAATAATCATAATATGTCATATTATATTAAATCATCCCCTATTGAATGCCCTGCAGAAACCACCCCACCCCATTTCTGATTGGACAAAGGCCCCCAGGGCGTAGTAAAGGCCTCAGCAGGCCGAAGAGCCCGAGGCAGCACCTCGCACTCAGACCCCTGAGGAAACGCAGCATAGTGGCTTCAGTGCCTCCAGAAGCTCCTTCTGGGGCCCTGCCCCCCACACCCCAGACCCTTGCCCTCCCACTTAGAGGATGGAGAAGGATCAGAAATGAGGCCTACCTCTCTCAGGAGACCCTCAGACACACCCTGCCTCCAGGTTTCCGAAGGACAGAAAGGAGGAGCCTGCTCTGCCCCTAGGGATAAGGGATGCAGGTCAAGGCACAGGAAGGGGCGGAGAGAGTGGGAGGGGAGGGTCAGAGCGTCACCCACCGGGAGGGAGAGGAGCACAGGGGGTGGAGCAGAGAGGGCCTGAGGTGCTGCTCTGCCCCCTAGGGGTTGCAGGAGAGAGCACAGGAAGGGGCGGAGAGAGGGGGAGGGGAGGGTCAGAGGGTCACCCACAGGGAGGGAGAGGAGCACAGGGGGAGGAGCAGAGAGGCCTGGAGGAGCTGCTCTGCCTCTAGGGATAAGGGGCAGGAGAGGGCACGGGAAAGTACAGAGAAAGGGGAGAGGAGGGTCAGAGGGTCACCGACAGGGAGGGAGAGGAGCGCAGGGGAGGAGCAGAGAAGGCCTGAGGTGCTGCTCTGCCCCCTAGGGGATGCAGGAGAGGGCACAGGAAGGGGCGGAGAGAGGGGGAGGGGAGGGTCAGAGGGTCATCCACAGGGAGGGAGAGGAGCACAGGGGGAGGAGCAGAGAGGCCTAGAGGTGCTGCTCTGCCCTCTAGGGATAAGGGGATGCAGGAGAGGGCACGGGAAAGTACAGAGAAAGGGGGAGAGGAGGGTCAGAGGGTCACCGACAGGGAGGGAGAGGAGCGCAGGGGGAGGAGCAGAGAAGGCCTGAGGTGCTGCTCTGCCCCCTAGGGGATGCAGGAGAGAGCACAGGAAGGGGCGGAGAGAGGGGGAGGGGAGGGTCAGAGGGGCACCCACAGGGAGGGAGAGGAGCAGAGGGGGAGGAGCAGAGAGGGCCCGAGGTGCTGCTCTGCATCCAGGAAGGGCATACCAGTACCAGAGATCCTGGCCCTGAAGGGACCTCAGGAAGTCATCTAGTCCATTTTATAGAGGAGAGAACTGGGGTCTAGGGAGGGTAAGGGGCTTGCCTAAGGTCACACTGCTAGTAATATCAAAAACAGCGTTTGAAGCTCGTTCCAGAGAGGGACCCAGGAGGCTCTCAGGGAATTTGTCCAATCCAATTTGAAGCATCTTCCCTTTTCTCTGCCTTATTCTCCCTCCTAGCACCACTCCCTCCTTGTACATTCTGTTGCAAGCCTTTGTTCCAGGGGTGAAGGCCTCTGGGTTGACTGTCCACACCACCTCCCTTGAGGGACAACAGTTTACATGATCCATTACCTCCTTTTCCGGCTGCAAGGAGAGCCAGGAATTTGGGGCTTGGGAGAGGCCAGTCATGAATTTTGCGTCTTCTCCTTTTCAGGTAGCCAGAATGTAGCAAGGTGTTAATATTTACTTAATTAAGGGGGATTTGGCAGAGGAGTGTCTCTTCTGTTCTGTGAGCTCCCCATCCAGGTTGAGTAAATTACAAGGGGTGGAACTTAGGGGGCAACTAAAGGGTATATGTCTTCGCAGTTTGGGCATCTCCACTGGTGTCTTACTCATAGAATACAAGGAATGCAATTTGGTGAAAGACAAAATAAATGAAGTCTGCCTATTCACTACATGCTTACATGCATTTGGATGAACCCCATAGAGCTCATTCATCAGTATTTATATCCTGATCTTGTATAGATCTTGTCAATGGACAATGAGTTGGACTCAAAATTAAGTAGGAGGCGGGTAAGTGGGCTTGGATTGCCTTTCGTTGCTTGCCAACCTCCTTTAATAACCCCAACGTTTCCCAGAAACAAACCCTCCTAGTTTTAATATGAGTGTTCTACTGGTGATGTATAATTACAAGGCACAGAGCACTATGATGTGGAAAGAATGAAAAAATGAACATCCCTCAGTGACTGATGAAGAGACACGTGGTGAGCATGAGTAGGCTGCAAGTGTATAACAAAGAATGAGCAATGAAGAAGAACAAAAGCAAAGGATGTCTTCAAAGAAATTTATGATCCAAAGAGAGGATGTGTTAGCTACCTGACAAAAATGAGGGATAACCAGTGGACATCCCCCATGCTTCCTTGGCCTCTTTATAATGTCAGAAGAAATTGAGGATGCCATCCATCGTGTTGTAGTATTGATGATCACACCTTACCAAACAGAAACCCAACAGCACAGGAATAGGAGCCAAGGAAGCCAATAGTGGATGGGTGGAACCAGAGGCAATCATGACATTATGCTGATTGGGTTCACTATAAATTTATGTTATTTAATCTGGATTGGTCCCTTACTGAAACAAGATAGTCCTGTTTCTCTCTAAGCACTTATCTAGGCCACTTGCCATATTTGCTGTTTGAAGCCTTCTCTTTTCTTAAACCTCCCATGAAGTGCCCTTGCCCACTTTGACTCACCGCGGCCCTTTTTGGAGACCTCCTTCTGTCCTTCTCACCTCACAGCCCTCAGGCACAATGTCCCACTGTCTCCTCTTTTGCTATAGCCTCAGATGATGAGGTGGCCCTTCTGCTTGTCAAGGTCAACCCTGCTACATGCACCCTTCACATCTCATCCAACAAATTATCCCCATTATTATCCCCACTCTTTCTATAATCTTCAGTTTCTCCTTATCTATTGATTCCTTTCTGCTGACTACAAACACACTCGTATCTCTCCCATCCTTAGAAAAGAAACAAAAACCAAAAATGCTTGATTCTGCCTCCCTTGTTAGCTATCATACTATATCTCTCCTCAGCTAAACTCCTTGAAAAATCTGTCTGTCCATGGTGCTTTCACTTCTTCACCTATCATTCTCTTCTAATCCCTCTGCAACCTGGATTATGACCTCATCATTTAGGTGAAACTGCTCAATTATCAATGATCTCTTAATTGTCAAAGCTAAATAAATGGGAATGGATGAGTTTAATTTAGGAGATCATTACATGTAGTACTATGGGCAAGAATCCCTCAGAAGCGATGTGGTAGCCCTCGTAGTCAATAAAAGGGTGATAAAAGCAGGACTAGGGTATAATCTCAAAAATGACCGAATGCTATCTGTTCGAATCCAAGACAAACCATTCAACATCACAGTAATGCAAGTTTATATTGTAACCACTGATGCTGAAGACGTCAAAGTTGATCACTCTATGAAGACCTACAACTTCTAGAAATGAAACCAAAAAAAGATGGCATATTCATCATGGGGATTGGAATGCTAAAGTAGAAAATCAAAAGATAATTGGAATAATAGGCAAGTTTTGTCTTGGAGGACAAAATGAAGCAGGGCAGAGACTAATAGAGTTTTGTTAAGGTAACTCATTGGTCATAGCAAACACTCTTCCAACAACCCAAGAGGCAATTATACACATGGACATCACCAGATGGCCAATACAGAAATCAGACTGATTATGTACTTTGCAACCAAAAGGTGGAGAAACTCTATGGAGGGAGTTAAAACAAGGCCTGGATCTGACTGTGCATCAGATCATGAGTTTCTTATTGCAAAATTCAGACTTATTTGGAAGAAAGTAGGGAAAACTATCAGACTGTAGAGTTGTAACCTAAATAACATCTCTTATGAATTTGAAGTAGAGGTGATGAAAAGATTTAAGATATTAGATCTGGTAGAGAGAGTTCCTGAAGAA